CCTCTGCCTCCCAAGTGCTGGGGTTAAAGGCATGTACCACCATACCCAGCACATTTTTTTTTTTTTTCATCCCATACCAGTCAAGCAGATACTTGATTGAACAATACATTCTGTACTTGAAATGGTCACAGTTGTTTGCAGCCTTAGTTCCATATGAAAGGTACACTGCAGAATCTAAGGCAAGTTGAAACCTGCTTGAACTCTCCTTTTGTCTTTGGAAAGACAATAGTGACAGGATAGTGATTCTTAAGACCCAAGACCAAAGGCAGGCAGGGAAAATGTAGTTGGGCTCTTAACTTGAATCAGGTTCTAACTGGGATTTTAAATTGATAATTGCTGTTCTCTGGGCTATCCTTTGCCACATCCATGCCATTTGGAGAACTGGCAAGGGATCATTTGTATTCAGGTTTGGTTGCCAGTTTAGTTCCCTGTAAGGAGGGTGCCTGTGAATCTGAGAAAATGCTTCCTACTGTGGATGATGAGACATTGCTCTTAAAAACCTGTAACTTGATCTTCAGTTTATGATCCTTGAAATTCCTTGCCTGCTAGTGGTTGAGATAAAGTTGGATTGGACTGGTTTGCACTGCCCCTAGAGCAGGCTGACCTACAACTGGGTTAGAGTAAACTAGCATGGTTCTTGGGCCAGGCAGAGAACTTGGCTATCAGCCAAGCACAAGGATAAGAAAATAAAGAAGTTAAACATTGCCTCAGAAGCCTTGGAGGCAGCGAGCTTCTCTTAGGGGAAGATTTGGAGATGATACAACACTACCCAAGCAGATCTCACCAGGTTCTGGCGTACCTGCATTTTAGCTGCAGAATATGTAGATTGTCAAAGTAAGCATAGGGTTGGAAGACAGCTCAGCAGGTAGAAAAGCAATTCCCACAGGTGTCCACTGAACACACATACCATCTCCCACACATCCACACAAAATACAGTTGAAAACAAAAGTAGCCACAGCAGATCTACTAGTCTGACAGTTACTTCCATGAACAGTACCAGCCTGCCAGTATACCCAGAGAACTTTGCAAGAACAGAGGAGACTTAGTGCCCAAAGGGATGGGTTCCTCACATGATTCACGAGCCAGAACCACAAAACAAACATACAAGTACATGTGGGGCAGGACGTGGTGGCATATGCCTTTAGTCCCAGTGAAGCAGAGGCAGGTGAATCTCTGAGTTCAAGGTCAGCCTGGTCTAGATATTGACTTCCAGGCCAGCTGGGGCTACAAGGAGACCCTGTCTCAACACCCCCACCCCCCAAAAAAAAGATCATCAAGTCTTTGAATTTGCTGTAGGTGTGTATATAAGGTACTTGGTTGAATAACTGAGCAATGTACATACAAATCCTTAGCTATGTTCACAGCAACAGCTCAGTTCAATGCAACTGTAAAGTAGGTCATTTTAAGGTGTGTTTTTGGGTCTTTTGGGGGGTCAGATAAGGGATGATTTTGAGACAGGGTCTCCCTATAGCACCAGCTGGCCTGGATTTGCTATGGAGATTAGGCTGGCCTTGATCTCTCACATATTTGCCTGCCTCTGCCTCCAGATTGCTGGGATTAAAGGAATGCACCACATGTGGCTTTATTTTAAGACATTTAAGATAAATTTTCTTCTAGTCAGGTTTTGTTTTGTTTTAAGGCAGGGCCTCACTATGTAACACAGTTTGGCTTGGAACTTCCTATGTAGACCAGGCTGGCCTTGAACTCACAGAAATCTGCCTGTTTGCATCTTAGTGTACTGACACTGAAGGCCTGTACCACCACACCTGACCTCACTTTTGTCTTACTGTAAGTGCCTGTTTGACTTTACCTGTTAGTGTTTGTTGATTAGAGTTCACATGCTGCATTTTAAAAAAGTAGCATGTGAATGAGAGTTGTATGAATTTACTATTGTATTTTGGTGATGAGAATGTAGTGACTTTATTTAAATCCTTGATTACTGAGAAGTCACAAGTGTTGACAACAGACAATATAACAGCACCAGAGGGATTGGTTATTAGAACCTTGGCCTATGTTTATGTAATGTATTTGGGAGAAATAATGATTAAGCATCCTTTGTTCTATAAAGCTGGCCTTTAGCCAAAAGCAAAAGTCAGGTCTGAGCTAGGGGTGAGGTGTCACCCCTCTGTTACATGTGGATGCGTAGCCTTGTGTGGCAAGAATTTGGTATTTATGTAGGTTTAACAGTTGGGGAATTGGGGAAGGGAAATGATTCAGCTCAATTTTTATTAACTCTAGTAAAGTATATATTCATGTTAGAGGTAACTGATGATTGTCCTGTTGTTTAATGATAGAAATCAAGAATGTTGAGGCTTGGGATGTAGCTCAGTTTAGTGTGCTTTCCTAGAATGCCCAAGGTCTCCTAGGTTCAACGCACAGCACCACAAGAAAAATCAAAAATGGACTTGAGGCTGAAGATGAAGAGATGGCTCTGTTGCTGAAGTGCTTGCTCTGCAAGTGTGAGAGCCTTAATTCAGATGACCCAGCATCCATGTAAAAATCTGGAGACCTGGCAGACAGATCTGTAATTCCAGGCCGAGGAGGCAGAGACAGTAGAATCCCTGGAGCTTGCTGGCCACCCAGTTGGGCCAAATCAGTAAGCTCCACTGAGTGGAATTCTGTCTCAAGACATAATGTGGGGAGCAATCCAAGAAGACACCAGATGTTGACCTTTCCTCCACACACATTCACACATAGTCATCACATCCACAATGAACTTTTTCACCTATAAACTGAAGTGTAAACTATAGTCATTTACTGCTGGTCTGGAAGCGAGAGAGTAAAGTTGCCACTCTTAACTTGTTCCCCAGTTGTTGATGCAGTGTTTATATGCAATATAAAAGAATGATGGTGCGTAGTAAGAGATGCCCAAGGGACTGGAGAGAGGGTTCATTGGTGCAGAGCACTGGGTGCACCCATATGGTGGCTCACAACTCCACCTTAACTCCAGTTCCAGGGGATCCGATGCCCTCTTCTGACCTCCACAGGCATTCACAGCATGAGTATACTTAACGTGCAGGCAAAACACTTATACACTAATAATTTTTTAAAATAATTTATTGAGAATTTCATACATGCATATAAGGTGTTTTGATCAAATCCATGCCCACTCCCTCCCCTCCACTTCTTCCCATATCTCCCCATCACTTTGCTACTCTTAACATTTCCCCCTCTGAAGAGGTAACCCTAAAATCATTTAAGGATTAGATACAAGCTCCCAAATACATTTTTGGCTTTTGGAATGGAGTATGTTGCTAAGAGGCCCAAGGACATTGTGAATTTTAGCCAAAAAACTGGCTACTTTTCTTTGAGGTCTTTTTACACTATCTGCCTAGCCAATTCCTACCTCCTATTCTTATCACACCATCCTCTGAAGGGGTTACCCAACTGGGGGATAGGGGATGGGGATGCAGACCACTCTGGCTTCTTCCATGTGGAACAGGGATGCAGCAGGGTGAGGGCAATTGGGGTACCCCTTCAGTGGGTCTATCTAAAAGACTCCCAAATTGCATAACATCTCTAAGGGGAAAAGAAAGTCTTTGAATCATGTCTAGGAGATGTGAAGAAGTAAAGGCAAGAGTAATTAGCCTTACAAGTTCTAGACAGGGAACTAGAAAAAAGTCAGAACATGGCAATTTTCAAATGTTCACATGAGAGTCCATTGGAATTTCTTGACAAGGGCTTCCAAAAGCATCCCTCTCTTTGGTCCTCCTCATTTTTCTTTTGTCTGCCATGGCTGGACTCTAGAGTGATGGATTCAGATAAATAAATATATATATATTGTCTTTTTGAAGCAGGGTCTTCCTGTAGCCCCAGCTGTCCTGGAACTCACTATGTAGATCACGCTGGCCTTGAACTCACAGAGATCCACCTGCCTCTGCCTCTCAAGTGCTGGGACTACAGATGTGCACGACCACGCCCGGCCAGATAAATAATTTTTTAAAAAATTGGCCAATGAAGATGATATCAAACAGCCAGGAATGAAGCTAGTATAACATGAAAGCCACCAAGACAAGCATTGTCATGAAGTTAAATGTTTGGCCCTAAACACAAATGGGAAATCTAGAAAATTGTATAGTTTTTGGCAATTGTTGAAGAAAAGGACAGTTCATACATACCACTAACCCATTCACACATTGATCTCTTAATTCTAATGGGATGATTTAGGAAGTGGGGACTTTAGAAGGTGGTTAGG